GTCATCTGACTCAAAATGCCCCATGCCAGCCCATCTCATCTCTCCAATGCCTAATATGTCAATATTTATGCGTTCCATTTCTTTCTTAATAATTTCTAATTTTCCTTCATTCATGGCTCTCACATTCCATGTTCACTAAGGTCACTAGGGTCTGCTTACAACTGTTCCTCCTCCTTTGTATTTCCATACTATTGTTCACCAGAATAATCCCAAAGCATCCATTCTTCTCTGGTCTTCCTTATTCATTGTCCAGAGTTTACATGCTTATGAAACAATTGAAAATAGCATGGTTTGAGCTAGGCATACCTTATCCTTTAACATGACATCCTTGCTCTCTAGCATGTTAAAGAAGCCTTTGTTAACACGTTTGCCCAAGCAATACTTGAAATATATACTCAACACAGTAAATGAAATATAGTGGAATTAAATCAAGCAAATTAATTAAAGACCAGCTTGCCTTCACTCTTCCTCCTGTAACTTGTGCTGCACCTCTCATTGGTGTTTTTCCAGTGGTCAGATTTCTTGCTCTGTCTGACTTGCCCATAGCACACCATCATGAAGGGCTGCTTTTCACAGTCTTCAGCCCCCAATAGAGGCTGGAAGATGAAAAGAGAGGAAAGCCTGATCCTTGAAGACCTCAATCTTAGGCTCAGATGCGTGCATGGTGCTATTTGTAACCTTGCTTCCAAGATAATCCAGCTGTCTACAATTCTCTGGTTGTCAGAGCTGGTCTTGTCTTAGGGCCATGTCTAAAGACAGGTTAGTAGCTTTTGCTCTTTCTCACTTAGACCCAGGAATTGAATCCATTAGGCCCCTCAAACCAAAACTGAGAGACCTAGAATATATTGCCAAGGTTCTCCTCACTTTTCACTCAGTGCCATTCAGCAGAAGAATCACTTCTCAAGAGCCTGCTTGTGATGATGAGAAGCATCCATAGTGCAACAGAAGGGATGGTTAGCCTGTGAGATCTGGCTAGTGAGTGCATGTGGGTGTGGTGTTTATATCTTCCTTTACTTGTCCTCCTCCTCCTTTTTTATTTTCTTGTTTCTGTGGACTTTCAAACACAGGGATGTGGGGGTTTCATGACCGAGACCTGGTCCTGCGGAAGGCTCTCTACACCATGATGAGGACAGGAGCAGAGAAGGAAGCTCTGAAGCGGAGGTGGCGATGGCAGCAGACTCAGCAGAACAAGGAGGTGGGTGCTCAAGGCTGTGCCCAAAGATGGGACCTATACTAAGTGGATCCCGGAACAGTAGAGGTTCTTTTGTTAATTCAAGCAGGAGCAGCTTCTGAGGATTTCTGAGGCACCCTGTACTTACCCCCCTAGAACAAAGTGACCACAAGCCCATTCATAGCTCTGTCCTGACCTTCAGGATAGGCAGTTAGTTCTTAACTGCCCTCCTTTGCTCTCAAAAGTGACATGGTTTTGATGACGAAGTTTATGATGATCTGACTAGTGGGGTCACTGTTGTAGCAGTAGCTTGTAGGCCAAAGGCAGCTGCAGGAGGCCTGGTGCTGCTCACCATATCAGTCCTGCCCAAGTCCTGTGTACACTCAGTCCACAGAATCGTAATTGTTTTCCCTCGGGATCATCCTGCTCAGCACTGCACAGATCAAAAAAAGTCTAATAGACCTTACCTATGATGCTACTTCTTCTCTAAGTAGCTTGAGGCAGAGTGGTATTAGGAACCAAAAATCTACATAGGCTCTGTCCCAGATTCAAACCAGTACTTCTTGGGGGGAATCTTCTTCTGTCCTCTGAATGCCTTAGTATTTTTCAT